GGTTGTCAATATTCTCCCATTCTTATTTCTTCTATCCTCTTCCCTCACACACCCACACTTGCATTCATATACCCCACACACATTTTTTCCTGGAGTATTATAATGTAAATCTCAGACATAATTTCCCTTTACCTGTAAATGCTACATATCTCTAACAGATAAGAACATTCTTTTAAAAATTCATACCCCTAGTACCATTATCCTACCAAAGAACCAATAATTATTTTATATTATCTATTATTCACTTATTTGAATCCTGATCCAAATGAAGTGCACCCTTGCATTTGGTTGGTTTAGAACTCTTTTAATTTATACTATAACTGTCCCTTGCCCACAACTCTCTGATGCTATTTATTAGTTGAATAAAGTAGGTCATTTTCCTATAACATTTCCCACATTCTTGATTTGGCTTAGTTGTATTCCTTCAGAATATGCTTGTTCCTCCATTCCCTGTGTCTCCTGCAACCTGGCTGGTAAGGTCTAGAGGTGTAATTAGATTTTTGTTAATAGTCCTACATAGCTGGTGCTGTTTAGTGCATCATGTGTGGAGGCACATAGTATGTCTGGTTTTCACGCATTTAACGTTAAGATTGGTTCAGAGGGCTCTGCTGTTGTTAGCCTGATTGAGCCATTATACAGTTCTTCAGTAACATCTTTCCTAATGGTTTTAGCATTGATGATCATTTGTTTCATTAGGGGCTACATAATGGTCATCATTTTTCTGTTGTTTCTTCTGAGTTTATTAGGTGGAATTCCTTTATGAAGAATCATTTTCCTTCCTTAACTATTTGGTTAACTTGCAATGCAATTTGTACCAAAAAAGTGCACGATAAATGGTTCTTTCCTTTTATTATTTCCAAAATAATTAGTTTAGTGCCATCGCAACTTCCAAAGGTGACCAATGATTTTTTAGTAACATTTGAACTTAAATTTTTAGAGACTTATCCATTGCAGACTTAAAAAAAAAATATTCAAATTGTCCTATCTTTGGTGAATGGGAACTCCTCCTGGGTCCTTTAGACACAACCCCAGTGGCCTTTGATAATGTCCTTGTTTATAGTAAAATAGAATGTTCCAAGTTCATCTTATACATTTCATGCCTCAGACCTCAAATTACCCATTTTTCCAAGGAGCTGTGGTTCCTTTTAGTGGAAAGTGGTATTTAGAGGCCACAATATGTCCTTGACTATTATTGCTTACTGGGCCTTCATTGTTTCTGGGCTCTTTCAGTAGGTAGATTATTTAAAAGAAAATAATCATGAGCTCATACTTGGTTTCAATTTAAATGTAAGATTATAGGGTTTCTTAATATAAAAATTTCCTTGGTTTTATTTTTTCTTAAGCTGAATTGCTTGGTTCCTAACAATATTGTTTAACTACTTGTTTTAAAAATATTATTATTGGGGCACCTCGCTGGCTCAGTCAGTAGAACATGCAAACTCTTGGTCTTGAGGTTGTGAGTTCAAGCCCCATGTTGGGCCTACAGCAAAAAAAATATATTATTACTAGTATTATGACTAACAATAAGACTAGTATTTAATGAAGACAGTCATAATACTGTGTTTTAAGGTCAGTTGGAGTAATTGTTTTCTCTTTGTGGTTATGACACCAGCTTCATATATAGCAAGGTTCATTTCTTTCAGTTGGCTTTCAGTTTTTATGAATTGATTTTTTTAGGGGCGCCTGGGTGGCTCAGTCGGTTGAGTGACTGACTCTTGCTTTCAGCTTGGGTCATGATCTCAGGGTCGTGAGATGGAGCCCCGTGTTGGGCTCTGTGCTCAGCGTGGAGTCTGCTTGGGATTCTCTCTCTCCCTCTGCCCCTTCTGCTTATGTGGGCTCTCTCTCAAATAAACAAATCGTAAAAAAAAAAAAAAAAAAGTTGATTTTTAAGCGTTTTAAAATGTATTTTTAATAACTTTGTTGAGATAAAACTCACATACCATACAATTCACCCTTAAGGTATATATACAACTCAGCAGTTTTTAGTGTATTTACAAATATGTGTAATCATCACCACAGTCAATTTTAGAACATTGTCATCTTAGTAAGATATCCCATACCTTTTAGCCATCATCCCCTGCCCCATCCCTTCATTTCTTCCAGCCCTAGGCAACCACTAATTTATTTTTTCGCTCTAGAGATTTCCCCATTCTGGACAGTTCATGTGCATAGACTCATACAATACGTGGTCTTTTTTAACTGGCTTATTTTCCTGAGCATAATGTTTTTGAGGTTCTTCCATGTCTCTGTGATCCAAGGGGGGTTATTTCAGCCTCACCCCTGGGTTCTGGGACTTTCACAAAGGCATCTTATCTATGGATAGTTTCTCATTGGTCTTTTTGTGAGAGACTGAAGTTGGCAATCACCTATTCCACCGTGTTGGTGACATCACTTCCCATATGACCTTGTATCATTTTTACATATTACAGCTGATTTATTATCTTTCTCTGTTTAGTATGTCTTTGCTTTTTCTAATTTCTTTTGGTATTTAGGAAGGTTTACTTTTTTTTTTTTAGATTTTATTTATTTGACCGAGAGAGACACAGAGAGAGAAGGAACACAAGCAGGGGGAGTGGGAGTGGGAGAAGGAGGCTTCCCGCTGAGCAGGGACCCCCTACGTGGGGCTCGATCCCAGGACCCTGGGACCATGACCCGAGCTGAAGGCAGACGCTTAATGACTGAGCCACCCAGGCGCCCCTAGGAAGGTTTACTTTTATGTTTAGTAGTTTTTTGGTGTATAAACCCTTTGAAATGGCTACATTAGTAATTTATTGCTGTATAATAAATTACCCCAAAATTAGTAGCTTGAAACAGTGAATATTAGTTTTCTCAGAACCTAGGTGTGGCTGATTAGTTGGGTGCCTCTTCCTCAGTGTCTGTTATGCATCTGTAGGCAAGCTGTTGGCTGGGCCTGTAGTCATCTAAAGGCTCAAATGGGGCTGGCAAATCTTCCTTCAAGCTCATTCACAGGGTTGTTGGAAGGCCTCAGAAGACCCACTTCCAAGATGACTCATGTCATTGCTAGCAGGCTTGGTCCCTCACCACATGGGCCTCTCTGTAAGCTTTCTGAGTGTCTGCCCAGTGTGGCACCTAATGATCTGAGAGAGAGCCAGACGATACCCAAGATGGAACCAAGTCTCTTTATAACTAATCTCAGAAGCAACATCCATCACTTGTGCTGTATTATATTTGTTAGGCTACCTAAGGACAGCCTGCACTCAAGGGCAGGGGATTACACAAATACATGAGTGCTTGGAAACAGGCGTCACTGACTGCCATTGTATGGGCTTTCTGCTATAATTCCCATAAGCTCCTTTATTCTATCTGGTTAAATAGTTTGACTCCTACCTATTACTCATACAGGTATTAATGATCTTGTTCTACTTTTGACTTTATTTCTATTTTTTACTTTTCTTTTAAAATTGCATTCTTTCAACTTTGTCAGAAAATATGTTTAAATTCTATTTTCTCCTCATGTCTTCAACTTCATTATTAAAATTAGCTCTACAATTAAATACATGAAATGTTCATTGTCAGTCCTCTTGCTGAGGTTCCCCAGTCACCTATTGGTTGGCTGAAGCCCATCCTCTAGTAGATTCCTCAGGAAGGGAACTTGTTTACAATTTTCCCTGAGCTTTTACATGTTCAAAACTCCCTTTCTGTAGCTTCAGTAATTGAGGGAGAGCTTGGCTATATATAAAATCCTTGGCTCACACTTTTAAAAATTTTTGGAAAACATTGTCCTCCATTTTCCCATTTCATAGGTTGCTTTTTCAAGGTCCAATGACATCTAATTCTCTTGCCCCTGTAAGTTATTTTACCTTTTGGCCTGGAGGCTATGCGGAGTTTAAAAATTTCTCTAAATGTCTAATTGTTGTGCTAAGATAGGACTCAGAGTTGACCATCTGGGTCTGTTTTCATGGGCAGCTACCAGTTCCTTTTCATTATGTTTTCTTTTATTTCTGGAAACCTTTTTATTGGATGATAGTTTTAAATATTAGTTCCACTCCAGAACTTTATTTTTCTTCTTCATGGGCTCCAGTTATAGCGTGTTGGGTCTTCTTTTGACTGTCTGCTATTTCAATCATTTGTTCTCTGATTTTTTTTTTCTTTTTTAAACATTTCATATTCGTTTCCTTGGGTGTTTTACTGCTTTACTTCTGTGTACCTTACTACATTTTCATTCAGATCTGTTTTTCTTTTGGCACCTCTTTCCTCACTGTTTTGGTCTGGTAATGACTTATTGTCCTGTGAGCTTTTTAATGACTTTTATGGTTTTTTACTTGACATTGTATCCAAGCATTTTTAGTTTTTGTTTGTTTGTTTGTTTGTGTTTTTTGGGCACAGAGTTGGATAAACTAGCTGGTTATTACTGAAAACAGAAATCCCCACTTAGTCATAAATGGGCCTCCACAGTTGCAAGTGTCCTACTACAAGGCATAAGGAAGGATATGTAGAGGGGAGATGTCCTATCTCTTTGATTTGGAGATATGGAGTGGCTGTTAAACTTCAAAAATTCTGCAGAAACTTCCTCTTCCTTATCTTATCTCATGCTACTTTTTTAGTCTCTGCCCAGCTTGAAGGCCTGAAGCCTTGTGTTTTTTCTGTTTGGAGGGTGTCATGAGAGAGAATTGTCAAATAAGTATAAAGTAGCAAACTATGAAGTGTATTTATTGAGCAGTGTTTATTTGTTAATCTGGGAGGATAAAAGTACCAAATGTAGGAACTACTTGTATTTTCAGGTCTTCCCTGAGCTCAGTCCAGAATCACTTGGTTTGTCTAAAAGGAATCCTAGACTTTGGGATAAGGCTAAAGCTGGACTAATTACATGGAATAGACTCCTCTAGTTAAGGCATTTGTTACAAGTATTTGATGTATTTTTGAAGATTAGTCTTTTCTAAACCTTTTGTATTCGAGAAAGCTTTAAAAAAATTGTGACCTGTATTCAGGAATTAACTGTATTTGTTCTAAAACCTTTTTTTTTTTTTTTTCACTTCTAGGTGAATGAAGGAAATAACTAAAAATGACCAGTAGAAGACTCGAGGAGTCTATGGGGGCCGTTCAGATGGGGTTAGTCAGAATGCTGAAAGGATTCCAAAGCAAGGTTCTACCACCCTTGAGTCCAAGGGTCGTTACAAAAGAAGAAGCAAATCGAATGGTAATGTACCCGAGACTTTTAAGTGTAAAATACTTAATGCAGTCTCCTCAAGAGGATGACAGTGGCTACATGGCATTCTCAGAAATCAAACAGAGAATTACTGACTGATAATATCAATTTAGATAACATGGCAGCTTGCTGCAGAGCAGAGGTACCTCTTAAAAGCCCGAGAAGTTTTTGAAATTACATACCTCAGAGTAGAGACTTGAATTGCTTAAGTTAATCAGTTGAAGTAAGACTCTGCAAGGAAATTATTATGGTTTTCTAAATGTTAGGTTGAACCCTATGAGACTGTCATTTGTGTAGTACAAAAACAATGAGGTATCAGAATTTCATAGGGTTTGACCTCAACAGTATATTACCTGTTGCTTGGCAAGAGTTATTTCTGTTTGCACATTTGTAGAACAGAGAGTATCAAAATGATGACTATATGGTATCAAGTAAAAATGCATTTTTCTCTGTCCTTTAAAATAAAACATATTTCTATTTTTAAAGAGTTATAATAACTTGGTGAGAACGGAATTATAAACTACATGCTATAGAAAATATCAGTAACAATTTACAGGGTTCAAGATAGTATTCACCAAATTTTAAAAACCAGTCTCAAGTTATGTTCTGAGAAGAAAAGTAAAACCTATCATCACTCTCTTTTGGGGTGGTTATCATTTCATATTTAAAGTAACTCCTGACTTTTTGCTTTTAAGACTTCATTATTTTTTTAAAAGATTTTATTTATTTATTTGAGATAGAGAGCACAAGGGAAGGCAGAGGGAGAAACAGACTCCCCGCTGAGCAGGGAGCCTGATGCGGGGCTCGATCCCAGGACCCTGAGATCACGACCTGAGCCGAAGGCAGATGCTTAACTGACTGAGCCACGCAGGCACCCCAAGACTTAATTATTTTTATTTATACTGTGACACAGCTGATACCTCTTAACATTTTAGTACTGGGTTCCAATCAAAAAGAACCTAAAAAACCAAGTAAGAAGCAGCATTAGAAATATGCCTTCATTTATATGGATTCAATCACAGAAATTAATTCTGTAGGGATTTTGAAGAGCATTGATTTTAACCCAAGGTGAAATGAATCAGCTAAATTATATACCTCTGGATGTTTTAAAAATCTTGGTACATACTTAAGCATTATGTTGCTGTGAATGATTATCATCCCCTTGCATATAAAGTAAGCCCTGGAACATTCCAGAACAACAATAAGCAAATAATAGTGTCTGGTCCTGGGTAAATAAGCCTTGTTGAGTTATTTATTTAAATGATAGGTTACATTTTTTTCTCATAACATTAGAAAGTGTTAAAGCATTTTGTGTTCGTCTTTGGGTGTGTGAATATGAGTGGCTGCTGGATCTGCTGATGGGCTTAGGGCTCTTTTAAAACAAGGTCAAAATGTGCTCCTGTGATTTCTGAGAAGTTCAAACTCATTCCTAAGCTGTGCATTCACACTCCCTAGATCCTTTCCGTTTCACAAGATTCCTCTTTAACCTCCTATTATAGCAGGAGAGCTAAACACCCAAATGCTTTGCTTGTATGTTGTAACTTCAGTTGAGAAGTAGAAGCATTTCACGTTCCTCAGCTCTGAAAACTAGAAGTGATTATGGAAGCAGAGTTGTATGCTCAGATGCTTCTTCTGAGCGTAAATGTTAAGCTCTTTGGATATGTTCCTATGCAGTTTCTTTCTTTTTTTTTCAATATTTTATTTATTTATTTGACAGAGAGAGACGGAACACAAGCAGGGGGAGTGGGAGAGGGAGAAATAGGCTCCCTGCTGAGCAGGGAGCCCGATGCAGGGCTCGATCCCAGAACCCTGGGATCATGACCCGAGCTGAAGGCAGATGTTTAACGACTGAGCCACCCAGGCACCCCTCCTGTGCAATTTCTTGACTCCCCACCCCCTGTTTCTTTTGTGTGATTTCTTCAAAATCACAAGGAAACTGCAACCACATGTCATTTGAAATTAGTGTGCAAAGAGCTTAAAAGTGCACAGGTACTTCTCTTGTATTATTTAGTTAATTTAAATATTTCATAAGGGAACTTAGTGGCATTCCAGAATTATCCTGAAAGCTGAAAACACATGCCATTCATTACTGGCACTCATGAAAACACTGTTTCAGTATAACCATTTATGAATCTTCAGCTGTTTTGTTTTAAATTCTAGTTGACACCCTCGGAGTTCCTGAAGGAAATGTCCCTCACCACAGAGCAGAGACTGGCTAATACGCGGTTGATGTGCCGACCACAGATCATCGAACTTTTAGATATGGGGGAAACAACGCATCAAAAGGTAGCTGCCTTCTGTCATACTTGCTTATGAGGCAGGCCCTGTAACTATGTGAACATTCTAGAACAACAGGAACTAAGTAATGGTTATTGTTTCTGGGCTCATTCCTTATTGGGTTTGTGTCATATATTCTTGTTCTACTTCTGTTGATCTTGATATCTGTGATTTAATATGGAGAGAATTATAATTAATAAGTACAAATAACTTTTGACTAGTCACATTTCTTAGCTACTCCCAGACACTATTGTTTACAGATCAGGAGTAATTCAAAGGATTATAGTAGCCAAATCCAGTTAATTCATCTTCTTAACACAACAAGAAATCCCATTCTTCCCTGAGCTGTCATCACTAGAAACGGAGAAGGTGGAATTGTTTATTAAAGGAGGCATTTGTTGTCTGTTCTGGCTTACTTCCGATAACAAATGTATCCTTTTAGTCTCTAAAGAACAGTTATTTTAACCTGTTTCTATATTCTAATGTAAACCATGTGTTCTGGGCTTTAGGAGCATATGATTATAAAATAAGGTCTTATTTCCTACTTTTAAATTAATTTCTTGAATTAGATGCTTTCCTTTTTATGTACAAATTATGGTGAACCTCCATCAGCCAAACTGATGGAGATCTGCCTCCTCTCAAAGGCTTCCCTGGGCTATTCCTGAGAGATTTTCAGAGATCTTTCCCAGGTGATGAATGAATTCCTGAGGCTCTTTTGCTCTCACTATAGCCCCATTGCCTCCCCTGTGTAGAATCTCCACAAAATTTGCTTTCCTCTGAATATTGCTAGCTTTTCTTATTGTTTCTTCTCTTCTTTGAGGGCAGCAACATGGCTTCTCCGGGTGCTAACTCATCCTGATCAAGAGCTATTTGCACCTTTCCCATAGCGTAACTGAGACCAGGCTATGCATATTTTCCTGCATGTACCGCTTGTATGTGTTTTAATGTATTTTGACCCCTGCTATGAAGGATGACAAAATTAGTATATTTTACTATATCTCATCATTTCTCTTCTTTCTTTCTCAACTCATTTGGTTATTTTTACTTTATTTTTTGGAATTTCATTAGTTCTTAGTTGGGCGACAGTCCTCTTCCACCAATATCTTCAAGAAGAGCCTACAGATACTATACTTCCTTGGTTTTGTTTGACAGTATTTGCCTATTGCCTTTATGCTGAACTTCAGATTTGTTAGGTATAAAATTCTTGGGTCACACATTTTCCCCATATAAACTGTGCAGGCATTTTCCTCACTACCTTCTGGCTTTAATGGTAAGCAGAAATATGATTTATAATCATATGCAGAAGTATGATGAAGTCAACTTGATTTACCCCACTATAGATACATGAATCTTTTAGCTCTTATGCCCAAAGACTATTTATTCTAATTTAATATCCAGTAATTTTATTAGGATGTGAATAAACTTTTCCTGAGTTACTGTGTATCTTTAGTTTACTTCTAGAAAGTTTTTCTTGAATTACCCAATATTCTTGCCATTTTTGGTTCTTTTCTTGAGGAATATCAGTTATGAACATGTTGGACCCTCTTTGTCTGCCCTTCTACATCTTGTATTCGCTCACCATCCATTTTTAATTTTCTGTTCATTTCCATTTCATTGTAATTATATCCACCAGGCTATCCTCTGTGTCCCTTACTTTGAGTTTTGTGTATATGTGTTTCTCTTATAATTCATCCTTGAGCTTGACCAGTTAGGCACTTCTGAATTGTCTCACAGCATTTGACTCAGTGTCTCTTTTTTTTTTTTTTTTTAAGATTTTATTTATTTGTTTGACAGAGAGAGAGACAGCGAGAGAGGGAACACAGGTAGGGGGAGAGAGAGAGGGAGAAGCAGGCTTCCCACTGAGCAGGGAGCCCGATGCAGGGCTTGATCCCAGGACCCTGGAATCATGACCTGAGCCGAAGGCAGTCAGTGTCTCTTTTTTGTAGGTACAAAATTTATTATTTATTTACTTGTAGCTCAGGTATCATATTCCTTTGATTTTCTTCCTACTTCACTGGTTGTTTTTTTCTTATTTTATTTTTTGGATCTCTCCCTGTTCCTGAACACTAAATTTTGGGGCTCCCCTGGACTTGGTCCTTGAAGTTGTTTCTCTTCTGAACTCATTCTTTAGGTGACCCCCTTCTAGGAGCAGGTTTTAAATTCTACTTTTTAAATGATTACTTTCACAACCATTTCTCTTGGTATGGCCTGTCCTCTGAACTCTGGATCACATATTCAGCCCAGTGAATGCTTGGTAGCTCAGAATTGTGTTACCTTCCTTCCCTAAAAACATGATCTTTTCTCCTTTGTCTCCTCCATCTAGTATATAGTAACCCCCATTTATCTGTTTCCTCAGGCCAGAAACCTACCTTGGGATTATCTCTGATGCCTCTTTTTTTTCTTGCATCTTATATGAAATCCAATGACAAGTGCTATAAACTTCTGCTTTCACAAATATAGCTTTACTCAAACTGCTTCTCACCACCTGCACCAATACCCTCCCAGTTCAAGCCACCATCCTCTAGACTACTGAAATAGTCTCCCTGTTTCCATCTCATTGCCCCATCATCAATTCTGCACAAAAAGGAAAGAATGATTTTTAAAATGTAAATTAGAACATGTTACTTCCATGTGTAAAGCCATCCAACAGCTTCTTATTGCCCTCAGAGTTATAGGGTCCTGTGTCATCTAATCCTATTTCCCTCATAGACCTCTTTTTCTTCCACTCTTCCCTAGCTCATTCTCTTCTAGCTGTACCCCCCTCTTGTTGCTCTCCAAACACTCAATGATGATCTGCACCTCAGGGCCTTTGCACTTGCTATTCCTTCTAACTATAATGCTATTCTCTCAGATCTTTACAGGACTTGCTTAGATCTCTACTTGGATGTCTTTTCCTCAGAGAGGCCATCCCTTGACACCTATTGAAAAGAGCATACAACCTGCATTCACTCTGTCTCCTTGTTCTTTAGTTTTCTCCATAGCCAAATCACTGCCTGATCTCATTATTATACACTTCTTTATTTTTTTATCCATTTCCCCAAGAATGTCAGCTTCATGAGGGCAAGGGCTTTGTTGGCTTTGTTCACTACTGTGTGCTTAACATTTGGAAAATACTGGAAACTCAGTTAATTGGTATTTATTGAGTGAACACATGGATTTTTCATCACTTTGATTGCTTAGGTCCTCCCTGCCTCTTAATTATTTGCTTTGTGCTTTCAGATTTTTTCCATTATGTCTTTTGCATTTATAGTGAAACAGTGTAGCCAATATTTTCATTGCTTCATGGCAACTTTCCTGTTAACTGTTCTTCACTTGCCATTTTCTTAATTCCTTTGTTTTCCTTGAATTTTTTTTATAGATCTTGATTTATCATTACTATTATTGTTACCACTCATTTTTGGAGGAAAGAAGGACATTTTTCCTGGATTTGCGATCTGCAGGCAATTCCTGTTGAGGCAGGTCCTGGCAGTGTCCCAGACCAGCAGGCATCTTTCATGATTCTCAGCACAGCATTTTATGAAAGAGGATTGTGTTCGTGTGTTTATTTGGAAGGGGGCTGAGAGGAAGGAAGGAGGAATGAGCTGTGTTAGCCTTTCCCCAGAGTTGTGACTTGTGGGGACCTTTAGGATTCAGAGTCCTTTTCTTCTAGCCTGCCTCAGTGCCACACTGCTTCCTATAAACTTGCAAATTTATGTGTTGCCCATTCAGCTCTGCCTTCCCTACTATTTCCTGTTGCCAGATGGCATACAGGGAATTTCATGTTGCTGTTCCTAGTATTCCAAACAAGGAGTTGGTGGCTTTGCCTATCAGAATATGCCACCTGCTTTGGAGATCTGTATAGTGCAAGCCTTACCTGAGATCTGAAGTCGTGGACATTCTTGCCGGGCATCTTCTCTTAACCCTGGTTATTTGTGGCAGGAGGGTTGGGGAAGGGAGCTCAAGCTGCCAGTTACAACCTACACAGAGTCCATCTTGGAGTCTGTCATTTATGCTGAAATCCATTGTTTCCTTTGCACTATAAGGCCTCTGTCATATATCCAGTGATCCATATACAAGGATCTGTTTCTGGACTTTTCCACACCATTGGTCAGTTTATTCAAATCCAAAACACAGTATTTTAAGTGCTATATATATATATTCATCTCTCTATATATATTCATATCTGTAAATATGAATTATATATCTATAATAAAAACAGTGGCAGAGGAAGGGTAGAGGGAGAGAGAGAATCTTAAGCAGGCCCCACGTCCAGTGCAGAGTCCATTGAGGGGCTTGATCTCACAACCCTGAGATCATGACCTGAACTGAAACCAAGAGTTGGACACTTAACCGACTGAACCACCCAGGTGCCCCACAAAACTACATTTAAAAAAAATTTTTTTATTGTTGTTAATCATCATACATTACATCATTAGTTTTAGATGTAGTGTTCCATAAAACTACATTTTTAAGTAAAATTTTTATTGAATGTGTGTGTGTGTATCATGAGCATATAGCTTGATGAATTTTAACAAAGTAAAGATACTCATATAACCACCACTCAGATGAAGGAATGTAAGCTTCAGCATTACCGGCATCCTAGAAGCTTTCTTCTAGGATGAAGAAGCTTTCTTATGCCCTTCCCAGTCATTACCTGTCCCTCTTCTCCAGAAGAACTGCTAATCATAGGTTTATTTTTCTTTTATTCAACCTTTATATAAGTGGAATACCACAGTATATATTCTTTAATTTCTGGCTAATTTAATTTAATATATTGTTTTGAAGATTTATGTTGTTGTGTATAGTGGTAGTTCACTCATTTTTATTGCTGTATAGTATTCCATTTTATGATTATACCAATTGTTATCCATTTTACTGTTGATGAGCATTTGTTTTTTTCCACATTTTGGCTCTTATAAATGATGGTGTTATAAACACTCTTGTATATTTCTTTTAGTGCACATATATGCAGTATGGGCATATACATAAAAGTGGAATTCCTAAGTTATAGGCCATGCATACATGTCTCT